ATGCTTTCTTCCAGAAGTGCACGATTGTTACGATATTTTCCACTTATCGGCCCCACTACTAAGAGCTGACAAAAACATATGTTCATGTGTACACTGTACGGATATGATAAGATGAAAACCAAAGCGGGAGCCTAGGAAACGCTCCAATGCCAAATTAAACATTTTTCAGTAACAGATGCAGTCAAAATTGAAAGTCCTCTTTAACTAGTTATTCCGTGCGCCTTTAATCTTGTAGGATACTGAGCAACGCCTCTGACGCAAAATATGTGCTTAAAGCGTTGCGGCGCGGCAGGAAACCAGCGTGACACGCGCATGGGCGCCTACAAACCTAATGGGATACTTCACGCGTTGCGGAATGCGTGAAGTATCCCGTTAGGTTTGCAGGCGCCAGTGCGCGTTCTGCGCTGCTAACACGCTGCTCCGCTCTGTATTAGGTGACGCAACAATTCGTGCAAACATGTAGAGATACCACAATCACACTTGTCTTTTGCAGGCAACCGATACCATATTTGATTTCAAGCGTCGTCAGGATGCGATTGAAATGGGTATCGCCGAAATCAAAGCTTTAGTCGAAGAAGAGAAGGACGAGGTCTCAGATGAACTGCTCGAAACGCATCAAATGGAGGTCGTGACCACAGCATTTCAACTCACCAACTTGAAGTTACTTCAGGCATTCATGAGAGTAGATGCTCAAAAATCACAAAGCCAAAGTAATTCTCCTTACTCAAGAAACTATATTGGCTCGAAATTTCTCCGAGCACTGTTCCCCTCTCATGGTAAAATACTGTAATTAGATTAATATAAATTTTGTAGATAAAGAATAACTTTTTTAATTTATTAGTTTTCTATATTTTGCTAAACCTTAGAAAGTTAATTATTTTATCGTCATAAAGCCACCCAAACAAAAAAGATTAAAATCGAAAAAGAAGGATTGAGGTTTTATACTTTTCCCCTGTTCTACCCACGGTAAACCTAACTACAGAGGGATTAAGGGGAGCCGACCACCCTATCTTCCCAATGTTAACGTTTGTACCTTTTTCTCAGGATCTACTGAACAAAAATTACTTCTCTTTTTTATGTTTTGAACTTTGAACCCTCCTGAACATTTTAACACGGGCTTTTTTTAAAATTTAAAAATTTGAAATTTTGGTGAATTTTTGACATTTTTTTGTTAGAAATCATAGAATTTGGACATGTGAAATCAAATTAAAAAAAATCCAGCTCGAAATTTTGAAAAAGCTCGTGTTAAAATGTGCAGAAGAGTGCAAGGATTAGAACAAAACAAAGATTTTGAAAATCGGTTCAGTAGATCCTGAGAAAAAGGTACATGAGTGCTGAAATATGTAGTTTTCGGGAAATAAGGAATTAAAAAAAAAACAGCAAAATCAGTTTTAGTGTAATTAGTAGTGTATTTAGTAAACCTTCCCTCACTAAACCGCGCGTAACTTCAAAACTACTCATCAGATTAAGTAAAACTTGGTCTGAAATTAAACGTGAGGAGTAGGAGATTAAGATTAGCCAGAAAATAAAAAAAAAACAAGCAGTGAACTCCAACACAATGTGTTGATAAGGCGCGTCATTA